ATGATCTCAGGCAAGTAATAATGTTGTTCAATCTGATAATTCAGCCCAAGGATTGGAGCGCAACCTCCTTACACCAGACCAGATCGCCATTAACGATTACAGTCGAGACAGAGCAAAAGTCGTTCCTCGCGGCAGTTCCAGCCCAACTATTCCAACTCGCTTCAAGCCCTTGTTTTCATTGGACGGAAATGTGGCGGACAGTGAACCCTACAAGGCACTCGCGGATCTTGCTCGGGCGGCAAATAGATGGTTGCAGTTCAGGCGGAATCTTCCCTCAGATACAGGGAAATTGGTACTTAAGGAGCTCACAACCCGGCATTCGGACCTCGCCCATTCTCTCAAATCTGGCCTAAACAGCAATACTCTTCGTTTCTCAGTAATTGCCTCACCTCCAAGGACGCAAGTCAAATCCAGGCGTGCACCAATTGCGCAACCTACTCGCCTCTCGAGAACAAGTAAATTAGAAAACCTTCTACTGTCTGATCCTGGTCGAGTTAAAGTCTTTAGAAAAATTATTGATCGCCAATCGGGGAAACCTCTGTATAAGTTAACCCAGTTTGAGATTGTTCGTGTTACGGATCATACTTATATTACTGACAAGGGAAAATCTACAGGAAAAATCATGTCTGTCTCAAACCTAATTATCGATCTGCCATTTTAATTGCCCCGAATACTATAGGTGATCGCGCCCAAGATACAAGCTCAACTTCTCGAGGAGCGGCTAAACGACCTGTCACGCGGTCGCAGCCTGTGTTACTGGAACAAGGCCCAAGCAACCCCTCTCTAACTACTCCGATGGTGGATCTCACTGTTGACTCTTCCAGTGGCTCGCGATTTGGTTAATACAGGAAAACGCCAGAGCTTTCAGTGTGACTCGCCTCCGGTTCGTTTTGCTCGTCAGTCTGCCTCGAAGTCGACGCCCCATTCCTCCACTCATGCTACTCACTCGCGCAATGTGGATTCTACTCAACAACCAGTCGGGTCGTTAATTTCGCCTCAACCGGGGCCACTACATCGTGCTGTTTCGTCCTCGTATACTCGTCCTATGGAGCCTCCTGAAGCTAGCACATCTATTCCCGATATCACAGTTTCGTCGCCGGAAAAAGAAGTATCTAAGGATTCAAATCACCCTCCTCATTCAGCGTCATCAGATCTACATTCCTCCTACCCTTCACTTTTACTACCCGCTCAACCAGTGGTTGACGATGCAGAGTCGGTTAGGACGTCTCACCGTACCAAAAAGCCAACTCAGGTTTTCGGCGATCCGTTGCGACATTCGGTAAAATTTGTAGAAGAGGATCAAATATTGCCCTCTACGACGACATTGGCTTCACTTTTTATACCAGTCACGGAGGAACAGATAATGCCCTCAAATACGCAAACTGTGTCCATATCTTCCCCACGGAGACAACTTATTCGCGATCGTTTTCCGCCTCAATCTTCCACTCAGACGTCGTCTTCAGTCACTCATAGAAAGGAAACCACGGGCACGAATTGACCTTATTTGCTAAGAAAGAAAGTGAAATATGGAAAAGATAAAACTCTTAAAACTTGCCCAATCGTTCAAACTTCGCCAAAACTTTTTTCACCTTATCATTGTGCTGTACTGTACGCATTTGTGTGGGATAGGGGGGCTATCGATTCATTTGCTCGTCTCAGTGCAGTTTATTTAATCTCAATTTTGAAGCTTTTTCAATTTTGAAGTTATTTGTTCCTCGTAAGTTATTTGTATGTCGTGAGGCGACCTTCGGTACCTCGTAAGTTATTTGTTCTTTTGCAGTCATACTGCAAAAGACAATAATTATATTAACCAAGGTCACTGTTAACCTCTTTAGTCAATACCACGCTGGCGTGTTTTTTCATTCATATATCCGTTATCACTACTGTTTGTAAGTAAATCTGATCATACATATTCTCATGATCTATCGGGATAAAATTCCTAAACCAAGTATATATCAGAAACCAAGCATCAAATTAACTCAAATTAACAAAGCATCTAACCAGAAAACAATTTTTTTATTGTTTATCTACCAAGTTTTCATTCTAAACTCCTGCGAATCTCACATGGTCTAAAGCTGTGCTAAGAAGTGCGCGCTTTTTTCTAAGAAATCGAAAAGATTGCATTATTGATAGATGTAATAAGAAAAAATTGTGAGTTCAACCTATCTATTGAATATTTTTTGTCGATAAAACTTTCTTGAGTCGGTTTTAATGTTGCTCAATACTCTTTTTTAGTACTGTGCTTGGCTGGCTTAGAATTATGGTGTTGGTTAAATAGATTTGTTGTAATATTTTTGCTTGAAGTCTGGTCTGTAACTGTATGTAAACTGTTATGTATGCAATTGTTGTTGCTTCGTTACAGTGTTGTCTGAAATTGTTTGCGATTCATAGATGACTTGAAAGTTTTGATAGAAATAGTCAATGTCAAACCATGCAAAGTACTTTTTAAGAAATATTTTTTATGTACTACATGAATTGTTTGAACTGATCGCCCTCGAGGAGAATTTTTCACAATGTTCATTTATGAACTATCAGAAATTATGAGATCGATTATGCCGCATGTGATACTGTAACCTGATCTTTGGCTATAATGAGGTCGTGTACTTTTAGGTTATATTAGTTTTTTTTGATATTCGATTTTAAATATTGATCCAGAGAGTTTTGAGATCTATTGCGCTTTGTTTTTTCTTTATTTGACTGCTAACCTACTCATTTTTGTATCTGCCTACAATTTTTTAACATTTTTTTCTTATACTTCATGTATTTCTGACATAAATGTTTCTGAGTTCAATCGTTATTTCAACTATATTGTGTTTCCTCTTTCGTCTTTTTTGTTCAGTTTTGTTCACAATGGGTTTTTTGTGTCCAGGCAATTTTTGTACTAGAAATCGAATTAAAATACATTTAGAAAGTATCAACATGTTTTAGTTGACAATCATGTCTTGTGTCCAAGTTGTTTTTCTGACCTTAGTTTTAGAAAGATTAAAGAGAAGCAAACTTTTCCGATTAATTTCTTTTTGATTCCTAAATTTCTAGACATAAACATTGCCAGGTTTTTGGCCTTTTTTTCTGATTTCTAGATGAGAACAGGTTGCTGGTTTATTGAGTTCGTTCATTCCAAGGATTTTTGAAATAAATCTTTCATTGCTCAGACGCTTGTTTTAGCTTCAAAAACAAATCAATAATCCTTTGAAAAAGTGATCTAACAACAAAGAAAAGACTGATACATGTAAGCAAAAGCCAAACTGGATTTACAAAAACCAGTACACGCCTACCATTTTTTCACAGAAGCTTTTAGCATTACGTACTTTAAATAATTCTTAAGCTCTATACGTTTGTATATTTGAAGCATAAAAAATGCTTCTGAAAATAGTTCATCTGTCATTGAAAGAGATATCAATCTCAAACATATCAAACAACACTAACTTCGAACCATATCCGAAAATGGTAAACCAAAATCGAAGGAATCAAAAACACATACTTTCTTGACAGTTTTATTTTGAACAATTTTTAGTTTCCCAAATTTCCCAAATTTCCCAAATTTCAATCTATAATGTCAGGAAAAATTAGTAACGTTGCGTTTATCATTTGTACCTTATACAGTGTTGTCTGCAATCGTCGCTGCTTTGTTACAGTGGTGTCTGAAATGTTCGCAATAGTTGGACAGTTTGTAAATTATTATAGATAAAGTCAATCCTTTATCATTCAAAGTAACTTTTTGTAAATAATTGCAAAAATAGAGTTTTCTAGTCTTGAGGAGAGAAAACGTAGTTTGTGAAACATTCGTTTGTAATTCATCAGGAAAAACTGTGTGATTGCTCCGTGTGTGACAAGGTAATCTGAAATGACTATTTTGATCTTCCGTGTAATCTTTCGCGATATTCTTCAAATTATTGATCAATAGATTTTGTGATTTACAGCTTTTTGCTTTTTTTCTTCATCTGACTACTTTGTTACCCTTTTTTTCTGAGAACGAGTTGTGTTTTCTGATTTAATTCTGACATAACTGTTTCTAAGTATTGTTCAGTGTTTTATTTTTTTTGTCCACGATCTGTCTGTTATTTTTTGTTATGTCTAGGTAAACCCAAGATACTAATAGAAAAAAAATAGAAATAAAATCAGAAGTGATTGACCTGTTAAATTTAGGTCAAGTGGTGTCTTCAGTTTTTTTGTTACTTGATATTTGATATTCAAAGAAACTGTAATAAAATTGTAATATTATAAGAAGCTGTGGTCTCTTCAGTCATTTTGTTATAGTTGCATTTAAAATTTTGTCTATTATGTCAAGAGAAATTGGTAATTATGAGTTTATCATCTGTACCTTATACTGTTTTGTATCCTTACAGAGTTATTCGCACTAAATTGACAAGTTGTAAATTATGATAGATACAGTCATTGCCGCATCATTCGAAGTAATTTTGGCGAAGAAAGCTGATTGCAAAAAATTTAATATCTCTGTCTTGAGGAGCGAAAAACATTTTTGTGAAGTACTCGTTTGTGGACCATCAGGAAAATTAGAGTGATTACTCCACTCCGTATGTGACGTTGTAATTTGAGCTTTGGCTACTTTGATTTCATGTGCTGTTATGTTATCACGTAATCTTTCTCGATATTCGACTTCAAATTATTGATCTACAGCTGCTTGTGATCTAAAAAATTTTTTCTTAAATTGACTGCTAATTTGACTTACTCTTTTTTCTGAGAACGGTTCTTAAGTTTTCTTCTAATCCGCCATTTAGTTTTGACATAACTGTTTCTGATCCTGGTCGTTATGGTAACCTTTGTCGAGTTTTATGGTTTAGTGTATTTTTTTCACGATGTGTATAATGTTTAAATTTGACTAAAACCAGAATAAAAATCGACTGACATTTCAAAACAACTGGAAGTAATTGACATGTTTTAATTGAAAAATTGATTTGTCTCAACTTGCTTTTCTGACCTTAGTTTCAAAAAGACGAAAGAAAAGCATATATTTTCAACTTAGTCCTGAAACATAAAACCTTATTAAATTTGACTTTCAACCTAAATCTCCAGATAACTGAAGTTAGGTTTAAAACAAATTTACCAATTTTTGAAACTTTCAGTCTAAAAATTTCAAAACAAAAATTATCTCTTTCAATGTTTCTTTCAGCGCTCGAAATTAAACCAAGAGGACAAGAGGACTATAAAGAGGACACCCAGACGTGTAAGCAAAACCAAAACTGTATTTACAAAAGTACAGTATACTCGTCTATTTTCAATTTTTCGCGAAATATTTAAACTTTATATAATTAAGCTCAGCTCAAATTAAAAATTCTTTCGTTCTAAAACATCTCAAACACCGCTTACTTGAAATTTTTTCTTTTAAAATGTGTAAACTACATACCGAAAGTTTCGGTTTGAATCAATATAAAAAAATGGTAAAGATTTCTGTTCATCATTTCTTTGTTTGATATCATCATCCAGGACTTACAAAATAAAATCCGACAAATTATTTTTGTTTATTGAATTGAACTATTTGTAATTACAATAAAAATATTTTAATTACTCTGCTAAAATAATTCATTTTACCCCGACCTCTAATTTAAATTTTACGGTGCAGATATAGAAAAAATGGGAAGAAAATAAAAAAGATGTCTCATATCTCGTCCGGAAGTAATCATTTCAACTAAAAACTAATTTTAAACCCCCGAGGAAAAATATGTAAGTTTTTCTCTCATATGATCTGTTTTTGCAAAAAATTCAGTGTTTATAAAAAAACCTTCTTACAGCCAAGTCATCGCCTTCATACAGCCAAGTCATAGTTCCTTCAGCCAAGCCATTAGTATTTGCACCATTTGCATGGCAAATTTTTAAAAAAAAAATGGCAAAAATTGGAAAAACTCGTCATTTTTTTCCTGCAGACAAAACAATGTTACCTATTTCTACAAGAAAACTCGTACAGCTCATTGAGCTCTAGCTTCCAGAAAAATGGTTAAATGCTCACAATCTAAGCAAAATGATCACAATCTACCAAGCTAATAGAGTTTTACCAAATGGTGTCGATCTCAATACTAATAATCATAAATTTTTACAGATTATAAGTTTTTTTGTAATATTTCACTTAGTGAATAACTTTCTTTTCACAACTAATAAACCAAAATTTAGTGTTTCAAAACTACCAAACTGTTTCACAGTGTTAGATTTTAGTTTTTAAACAAGTTCTAGTTCGACTGATTAATTGTAAACTATAACTGGTTTCAATTTCTGTTTAAGTTCTAGCTCGACACATCAAAAAAAAATTTCAATTTGAAAAAATGCAAGTTCTACTGATTGATAGAAAAAGTTAACATTCGCAAAAAGTATAAAAAGTTAACAGCAAACTAACAGCAAATGGGCATTTCCATGGAATGCAATAAATAAAAACACCGTCAAGGACAGTTGACATATAAACAGCGAAACATTTTTTTTGAATTAGAGCAAGCCCGTGGTTAAGTCTACCTGAGCAGAAATATTTTAAGAGTGATTCACATACCACCGCGCGCACCAATTGACTGGCCTGCATTCGCTAGAAATTTCTCAGTGTTTATCATACGATTTTTATTATTCTATGAAAATGGTATGATGAGGATTTTTTCCATAAACAAATTTTTTGTTAGAAAAACTCTTCAAAAAAGCTTTTGGTAAGTTCAAATGAGCGTAAATTGCTTTTTTCATTATTTAACAAAAAAATTATCATACGATTTCCATTTTATGAAAATGGTATGAAAAAAAACATTTTTTTTCATAGTTAAAATTTCGTTGCTCACCAAAAATGTTATTTTTTGAGTAAAAAACTTTTATCAAATGACTTCCATTCATCTCAAAGCCCTATATCTCAAAGCAAAACTACATATCTTGAAAAAAATTTGCGCTGGTTTTATTGTGCATAGTCTTATATTCACTCTGATTTTCATATCCTAGTTTATTTTTATTGTTGAAAAATAAGGAATCCTTTTTTGCTTCATTTTATGCCTTTGTTTCTCAAAAACAGAATTCGTAACGTTGTACCCATCAGAAACTATTCTACGATGTAGCCAAATTTACTCTTCACGTTTCACAAAAGGGGCGATGTTCTTAGAGATCCAGAAAATATAAAACCGATATGAAATATTGAATATTAAATGCGTCATTAATAACTCGGGTTGACAAAAATTGCTTATCATACTTTTTCATACAATTTCATAGAAAAGTAGGTGTATGAAGTTAGCAAAATAAGCATTTTGTCCATAGTATGAAATTTTATAACAAGCATTTTTCCACACTCTGGAAATAAAACTTGATCTTTTCAACATTTTCCCCCGAAATTGTATGAAAAAGGATGATAAGCGTTTTTCGATACAATTAAATTGAATGATAAGACTTTTTTCCAAGCTATGAAATTGTATTATAATCATTATAATTATTTTCCATACTTTGAAACTGTATGACAAGCATTTTTTCCATAAACGAAAATACACAAAAAATTTTTTTTCTTAAATTGTTTGTTTCAGAAACACTAACAGAAACACTATCCAAGGATTATTTGTCATAAGAAATAAAAGAGTGTAACTGGCAGTAATCACGCAGATATTCTGCATTTGATGATTTTAGACTTGAAATTTAATTTCAATCTTTTCACATGAAATTATATGCCAACATTGCGAGGTCAACTGTGCATTTTGTGCATTGTAAGCGGATTCCGCAACAAGGACGCTCCTTTTGATCTTTTTTGGTTATTTCATTTACTTTGATCGTTCCGACAATATTTTAACATGTTTAAAGACTTGTCTCTGGAATCCAGGAACAAGCAGACAGAAAATTGTGCGCCTATCCCATGATGAATGATGTAACTTTTTTGTATATGCCTAGATATTTTTCAGTTTGAAACTTTTGGTCGTTGAGAAAAAAGGCCTGTTTTTATCTTAGCAAATGAAACAAAAATAATAATCAAGTTTACAGAAAAAAAAACACTTCATTGTCACAAAAAGTCAAATTTTGCATGCAACATTTTTTTTGTATAACTTATTTTTGAGAATAACAGCACAGCAAGTTTGCAAGCAAAAAAGGAAATTTAAAAACGTTTACCTCAAATTTGTGTTTTTGTTTATGAAAAAATGCATAGCATACAATTTTCATATATGAAAACTATACGATAAGCATTTCTTCCGACCGAAATTATAATTATGTTTTTGATTGTCAAAATGCCCTATATCTTAGAGATAGTTATTTAAATCTATCTAAAGTTACCCAGACACGTTTTTTGGTAATTTTTGAAGTTTTTAATTTTTCTATGACAAAATCATATATGAAAATTGTATGATAAGCGTTTTTTTATCTATTTTTTCATTGTTTTTTTAATGACCAGAAAGCCTCACAAATAGCAAATAGACCAAAAATGTTCATAAGAAACAAAATTTTAAATTTTGTTGAATTTTTGTATGACAAACATTTTTTCCATAGACTTCATATATGAAACTGTATGAAAGCATTTTTTTTTCTATGAACGTCAATCCGTAGAGTAGATCAAATCGATGATAAACCAAATTTAAAATGATTTTTCATCCGATATGCTAAGCAAACGTATTCAGAACAAATATTCTTGACACTGAAACCAAGTTTATACAAAACTCCGATAGCAGAATCATCACTATCAAAAATATAGATGTATCGCATATTTTTGTTTGAGAAGTCTCAAGTTTTCGCAAAATGTCTATTTTAAGCTTTTCTTCTTTTTAGAATTTTTGAAACGACGTAAATCAGTGATTTGGAAAATGAATTGAAATACTTCAAAACCTGAAACATTTTTATAAGGCTAAAAAAAACAATTTTGAGCTTTAAAGTGAAACATTTCTTATAAAGGTGTAATCTTTGAGTTGAAACTGTAAAGGTTATTTTTTCTCAATTGCCTGGTAGTTTTAAAAAAGCTCACAGGACATCTCGAGTGAATTTTTTATATGCTTTGCATAATTCTGGAAGTATTTTGACGAAAAGATAAGACTCCAAGCCACTCGGATGAAGGTCTAACAGTGGGTCGTCAGCCGGAGGAAACCTTCAGGTTCGTCTCAAGTTTGTTCCTTAGATTCTATTATGAGAATGAATTCTAAAATTATCATCTAGTCTTTTAAAAAAGTGATAAATTGCCAGCTTCTTAGACGAAAATTGGTGGTGTACCTGTCTATCCATCTTCCTCGGAAATTTGACAAACTCGCCGACCAAAGAGTCCTACGCTTTGCAAATTTAGATAAACTTGATCAAAAATTTTTTATGGGAACCTTCGGGGCATATGTACTCTAAAAAATTTGAAGACTTTCCATGCTTATTCTGACCAGGGGCGGATTTATGGGGGAAGGTGGGTGGGTGGGGGTGGGGGGGGGGGGTTATCGGACGTTTTTTTCCTCAGAGATTCGAGCCCCTGCTGACCCAAACCGTCCCCCCTTTGGTACTTTTTACCTTTTAGAAATCCATTTTTGGCCGACTGACCCTAAAATTTTTCTGAAGGCGCCTTTGGCGCCAATATATAATAATTTTAAGGGGGAGCGCGCGCCAAAAAAAACGCCGTTTTTTTGTCAAAAATTTTCAAAAAGAACCCAAAAACCAAAGGTGTCTTAGCGCTAAAACCAAAGGTATGTTGGAAGAATTTAATATTAAAATGATAAATCAAAAAGAAACAAGGGGGGACCGTTTGAGTGGCAGGGTGTCACTAATTAATAGCTTTGAGCATGCCAGTTTCCCTTTTGAACTCCCTTCCTTGTGTACTCGCCAGAAGAAAAAATAGCCATGCAAATTTTTTCTCACAGAAAACGCAAATCTTGCAAAACTTTGGGATTTGCAAACAAAGTTAAGTGGACGGAAAAACAAAAATGAGAGCCAGTTATTTCAAAAAGGAAAGTTGCTTCCATTTTCCTTTTTTCGCTCGAATAAAATATGCAAAAATATCAAGAGAACAGTTGAAGTTTCGCCAATAACTTTGCAAAAATGAACAATCTGACGAAACCTGGGATGTTCTTACTAAAGTTGCTTTAACAAAAATC